CAGTCTTTCCCAAAGAAATTAGATTTCAGTGCTGGATGCTTAGTGCACGTTTTAAGACTTATCGCAATAGAAAGTTGTCACACAGGCTTATGTTCATTTGGAAGGGAACCACTTAACACGAGTTGTGGAGTGCCAAATAAAGATCCCACCCACATGGCCTTTGTCAACTAACTTGAAAACTGTTTCTTTCCTTAACATCCTTAATGCATCCACATTACAAGTTCTATAGAATCATAGAAATGTGGGGCTGGAAGGGATCTCAGTCATTTAGTCCAGCCCCTTGTGCTGAGGCAGGATCAAGTATACCTAGATGTAGAAGGTTCGTGCCGGGGCTCAACCCTCCTGGGTAGGAGGGGAGCCACATCGACTCACTACCAGTGGAACAAACAACCAGTTAGTTCAGGGCTCAGGCCCTTTAGTGGAGGGGCTGAGCAACAGTACAACAGTTAGTTTCATAGGCCCAGGCCCTGGATCAGGGCAGGGCACAAACAGTCACAGCTCAAGCCCTTTGGGGCAGGGGCTGAGCAACAATATAACAGTTGGGGTAAGCCCAGGCTCCTACACCTTAGCGTTGGGTGAGGGGGAAGCTTGCCACCCACGAGCGGGGGTGGCAGGGGGGGACGCAGGCCCACCCACTCCACTGCGTCCCAGCCCGGGGCCCTAGCAGCGGCCACTGCCGCTGCGGGTCAGTGGGGTGTCCTGACCGAAACACACTGACATCGGCTCATGTGTCTGCAGCCTCACTGGGGTCGGCTACCCCTGGGCTACTTCCAAGTTCCCCCTCAGGGCCTACCTCATCTGTGGCCCCGGGTCCAGTCCAGTCCACCAGCATGGGCTCCTCTCGGCCGGGGCTTGGCAGCAGGTCCGGCAGCTCCTCGGGGAAATCCGGCCAGTTGCACTCGGGCGGCTCCTTTAGGTAACAGCAGGGCCGGAGGGGCTCTGGTGGCGTCTCGCCTTCAGGGTTGGTGTGGGGGAGTTCCAACGGCTCCTCCCAGCGACGGGAGCGGACGGGCTCCGGTGGTTTCTCCTCGTAGTGGGCTCGGGGCAGCTCCGGCCAGTTACGGCCTCGGAGGTCTCCCGGCCGCGAGCTCTCCACCGCATGTCTGCTCCCTGCAGTGGCTGGGGCCGCACTGAGCTCTGGCGGCCGGCCTTTATACTTCCTGTCCCGCCCCTTGACTTCCAGGGGGCGGGAACAGGCGGCGGAGGCTCCGCCCACTTGGGTGTCTGTAGGGGCACTCCCTCTGCTGGGCAGGAGGGGAGCCACACCGACTCACTACACTAGACTATTTCTGACAGATGTTTGTCTAACATGTTCTTTAAACACTCCAATGACTGGGATTCCACAACCTCCTTTAGAAGACTATTCCAGTGTTTAACTTCCCTTCTAGTTATAACGATTTTCCTAATATTTAACCTAAATCTCCCTGGCTGCAGATTAAGCCCATTACTTCTTGGCCCATTTTCAATGGATATGGAGAACAATTAATCAACAGTTGTTTGCATATTTGAAGACTTATCAGGTCAGCACTCAGTTGTCTTCTCTCCAGACTAAATATGCCCAGGTTTTAAACATTTCCTCATAGTTCAGGTTTTTCTAAAGCCTTTATCACTTTTGCTAATCGCCTCTAAGCTCTCTCTCCAATTTTTCCATATCTATTTTAGTGTGGCTCCCCAGAACTGGACACAGCACTCCAGCACCAAGCAGGACATCTATCTCCATGTCTTACATACAACACTCCTGTTAGTACATCCCAGAATATTAACCTTCTTAGCAACTGCATCATACTGACTCATTCAGATACAGGTTAGGTGGTAGTATTGCTGAAAAGTTATTCCCCATATTAAAAAAACCTGTCATAAACAGGGCTCTGGTGTGGAGGTGATGATGGCACTGCAAAGGTCACTGATGGATATAGATTGGCATCTCAATTTTCATCCTCCTTAAAGAATCCCCTGTTGCCTCTTACACATATGGATGTGTCAACACGAGGACTTGTCCTGGTTTTATTAAGTGTAATTTTTACTAGTGCAGGTTCTTGTGCAGACAAGGCCTGTGCTGGAGAATTATTCAAATGCTATATAGCTGTAGTGTGACCAATCCAGAGTCAAGTTGCTTAAAGAGGTGTTGATCTGATGATAGTGCTGTGCTGGAGAAGAGGCAGGGAAGAATGACTGCTGTTGACTGTGGAATTGTACTCCGAAGACTCTTCATCCTGTACTTGATGTGTATGGAGGATATTCTTTCTCACCCCTAAGTTCTTGTAGCCTTCCATGCTGCCCTTTTGTTTGTGAAGCTTTGCAGGCAAGCGTATTACTGAATTTGTTTCTTCTTTTTGTAATGTTCTTAAACTTCCCCCTCTCCTGTTGACTTCCATAGTCTACTAGCTACTCCAACCTTGAGCTAGATGAATTTCCCCCATTCCATATGGAGTTCAAAGGTGCTAAGAATTGGGAATAATGCGACACCATATCAGTTTGCATATACTATCCCACTTCCCAGGCAGTTCATCTCTATTGGCTACATAGTTTGTGTTCTCAGTTTCTGCAGTGGGCAGATGTCTTTGAACAAGCTGGCAAGCTGTGGCAACAACCTATGGCCAAAACCACCAAGCCTAAAAATAATTTTGACTATTTCTTCTTACATGACTGCCTTTTCCTGTGCTAGCTAAGTACCCAAACTGTGCTAGAGTTTACATGCTCAGTGAAATCATAAGCTTGCTTGTGCAAGTTGGGTCCAATAGGAGCTCTATCTAAAGTATGGGTATCTCTTTACCTTCAACCATACACATTTTAAAACTACAAACAAACCAAAACACTCCATTAAATTTTCCACTCTTGATTAATTTTTTTATTGGCTTGCTCTCACTTCCTGATTGCGGGTAGGTCTCTGTGCATAGTGTTGGCATCTGGAGAAAGGGAGCAGAAGGTGAGCTCCCAGTCTACTCTACAGCGCAAACCTGGCATGAGTTCATGAGTCTTGGGGTGGGGGATGCATGTGGTGCTGCCCACCAGGTGCCATTGTGGGGTTTAAAACTGGATGCTTGGGAGTAAGGGCTTAGCCTTGCATTTGGGCATAGAGACCACTAACAGGATGTACTTTGATTTACACTGTGATTGTTGTCTTCAGAACAGTAGAAAGATGGCTTTTATTTAAAGTAGAACTTGCAGAATAGTCTATTCTGAGGTCCTTTCATAATCTCCTCTTGTGCCCTGATATTTTTGTCATTAACTCTTTTAAAACAGTTTGGATTTTACTGTAAATTTCAAAGAAAAATTTCCCTTATGCATATTTGTTACATTTTTGCCCATCCAGACCAGTAACATAACTCAGGGCAGGGGGGAGAGAGAGATCTCTCTAATTAATAAAAAAAAAATATATATATATATATATATATATATATATACACACACTATTTTTTCATTTTCTGGGATGGAAACTGTCTTGTTCTCTTACAAGAAGGAGGGAAGCCTTCTGGCATTTGAGCAAACTTTCTAACAGTTAATTGATCTGTGTACTGAGAGCCAGGGGTCAGTGTCATAGATAGAACCTTGAAAGGCCCTTCTTGAATGCATGTAGAACACTCCTTGGAACTGTGCTGAACAGGCTGCGGAAAAATCCTAGTGTCCACTCAGGACAAGTAGAAATGCAGTTTGGTAAAGTGTCACTTTTGCTTCCCACTGTGCATGGTCAACAGGTGGTGCTGCAGGCAGGCAGACTAACATCAGGGACAACAGCAATGAGTTGCTAGTCTGAGTGGGGATGTCTGGAAAGGCTGAGAGGAAGTGGAGCACAATAAACAGCTGTGGAGGTGGAAGAGCAATGCGAACACTAGAGCAGAGCTGCCAGTTAGAGTGGAGTATGATGGAGAGTAGCTGATGTCAAAAGCAATGTCTTGGGAGCAGTGCACACAGTTGGGCATGCTGGAGGCTAGGGCTCAGTTTGAATGTTAGTGATCTGATGGAGGCAGGGGAGAATGAGCATAGGCTTTCTAACTAAGCTTAGGTAACTTGAAGGCAAGCAATAGTCTAACTTTTTCTTGCAAAGGCAGATTGTGAAATAAAACTTGATTTTTAGGAGCAAGATGGCTTCTCCAACACTGAAGTCCTGCAGTGCTGGACAGTTGAATTTGCTGGCCATTCTTTCACTTGCATATTAAGTACACTAGTGTACAACAACTTACTTAAAAAAAATCATCAGAAAAAGAGAACAAACCCTCAAATACCTGTTTTAAAAAAAAATATAACTCTGTTGGCTTTTGGTGTTTTGAAAGGAATCTGCAGAGAGCAGTATTACAGGCTCTGGGCCAAGCATGGCACAGTGTGTTAAGTGGGACACTTAGACATAAGACTATTTTGGGGAGCGTGTTTTCCCATGAAAATATCAGCAGGATACAGTTGGCAAAAGTGTGTGTAATCAGGAAGCACAAAAGCTTTCACGAGGAAGCCTAAATTCAAAGCCACTTTTGTAAGGGTAGATGCTCCTATAGCGTGAGGTCATATTTCACATACTCTGATGAAATCTGTCGCTATCTTCAGTGTGCCTGGTAGAGTTTAAATGCCATATGTCAACGTATTTGTTGGCTACGTGGAAAAAGTTGCAAGAAGATGATGGAATAGGTAGGCTAGGGAGTCTGTGGAAATGCTGTTGATAGACTGAGTACCATGAGGGCCATCAAGTGCTGCTAGGTGGCTTTGGTCACACCCTTATATTGAGTGCACTTGTTTTAAGTATTTGATACTTCATGTCCAAAACTACAGAACGACTAGCATACTCCTTATACCAGTCTGACACTAATGAGGGGAAGATGTTTTGTATAAACGAGACTTAATGGGGTGTATCTGCAGTCATGCAACCGGGGGCTGTTCCTCTTCTCTATCTTTCAATACAACTTTAGGAAGATATATATATTTTTTTTTAACTGTCGTTCAGGCACGTAGATGTATGCGGTCTTTGTTGCTAAATGTTTTAAAGCCAAACTGATTTCTTCTTTTCCCTTTAGAGAAAGAAACAGAGGGAGACAGCCAAGAAAAAGTTGCAGAACAGACATTGGTAAAAGAAACTGACAAATCAACCAGCCATACAGGACAACATCCAAATCGAAGTGCCTTGTCCAGTCGGAATGCTCGAAGATCAGCTAAAAGCCCTCAAAGGACAGATGCAGCAAAGGAGCATAAACATCCATTTGCTTTATATGGCTGGGGAGAAAAACATACAGATACAGGGAGCCAGAAAACTCACAACGTTTGTGCTTCTGCTTCAGTGCATGAAGTAAGCTTTATTTATTTATTTATTTATTTATTTATTTATAAAAAAAAAAGTTTATTTTTTTTTACAGTTTAGTTTCCCCCCACATCTATAGGGAAAGAGGAATAATACGGATTATTTATAAATAAAATTCACTACCCTCTTATTAACCTTCCTTAACCTGCATCCAGGACTACTTTGGGGCATTAATGTCTTGAAAAGTTTTCCTAGCTTAGTCCTGCTATGCTATTTTGTCACTCTGTATTAGTCAGAAGGAATGATACTTTGGGAGTGGTGGACTGGGAGGCATTAGGTTTGAAATTCCTAAATCCTCTAGAGCTCCAGGCCTGAATCCTGCAGGACTCACTTGGCCTTAACTTTTCCAAGTTTAGGAAAATTGAGTTCCATGTAGTGTGTTCTTTCACTTAGGGCAGAGGACAACTACTGTTTATGCACGCAAAGCTAAGGCTTAAACAGCAAAAATCAGCCACTTCCTAAAAATTTTTGGGTGCCCACTTTGACACCCTGCAGGCCTGACTTTCAGGTAGCACTAAGTACCTGCCCTCTGAAACTCAGGCTGTTGAGGTGACAAACTGGGCATCTAAAAACATGGGCACCCAAAATCACTGATCACTTTTGGAAAATCTTGCCATAAGTACATCAGAATGGCTCTTCTAATAGATACCTTTCCTTTCATTGGCTTTCACCCTTTGCCCCAGTGTATTAATGCATACGTTCTTTATATAAATTTCAATTCAAACTCGAAGGTTGAAGTCATACCAGTGGTTTGAGTGCATGGTACCTTTCAAGAACATTAGAATTTAAAATATTCCAGGAAGTTCAGTTAAGGTTGCACTCTTCAAACAAGGAATGCAACCTACCTTGATTCTACCCTGAAGAAAATCAAATTCACAATCAAGCCTTTATTTCAGTGACGATCACAAGAACTAAAAGGCCTTGGTCTTAAATGTAGTGGTTGTGCCACTTTGTCATACACTACATAATTTATAAACTTCTTCCTAGTCAAATAGTATAGTGAACGCACATCCCATCCCAACCCTCCCCTCCCCTCTTCATTAAGGGCCTGCTCCTGTGAGATGCTGAAGATTGGGTCGTGTTATCTATGTAGATGCCAATTATCTGATTGTCATTGGACATGATTGTCTCATTATAGAGCTTGGGTGGGGATTTTGGGGTGGGGAGAGCAACTGCTCATGAAGAATCAAAATCTCCTGTCTGAAGACTCCAAATGAACTTGGACCAATACTTTGGTCCCATCACTAATTTTTCAAGCACGGAGATTACTTCTGTAGCTTCTACTGTAAGAAAACCAGTGACTAAGTCTATAGCTGGTTTTGGCTGGATCTAAGAATACTGCTGTAGTTCTCACACAACTGAGGCTATGTCTACATAGCCTCCTAGTGTAGACGCAGCCTATGCTGACAAGAGTTTTTCTGCTGGTGTAGGAACACCCCCACCCAAATGATAGCTATGCCAACAGAAACACTCCTCTGTCAGTACATCTGTGTCTATACCAGGGCTTTTGTCTGCATAGCTGGTCAATCAGGGGTGTGTTCCCCCCCCCCCACCCCCCACACCCCTGATATAGATGTGCAGATAGAAGTTTTTAAATGTAGACTAAGGCCATGTCCCCTAACTTCTAAACTGCCAATCACTTTCAAAAGGTTCCAGACTAAATGACCCCTTGGTGCAGCCTCTGATTAATGCATAGGTTTTTTTGTTTTTTTTTCCCAGTAGTGCTGAAATAAGACAAAGTGGATGAAATAAATGTACCCTCACGGTCTGAACTTCAAGAAAGGAAGTCTATCAGAAGTGGGCAGTTAGCAGCAAGTGTCCCAAAGCAGGCAGACAGGTAGACTAGCTCAAGCCTAGAAATGACATAAGTGGTTCAGCTATTGATGAGTGAATTCCTCTGTGTCTATCCCTTGGAAGCTGAGTAACGTTATGAAGTTGTAAATGTTGAGTCTGATAGTATTGCTGGCAAGTAAAACGTTATGTCTGAATAACAACTCATTACTCCAAAATGGTGAAAGTTCTGACTGTTGTAATGCACTATCTTACAGAATGGCTGACCTTGTTTGGACCTGAGCCCTTTATTCCTTGTTCACCCAAAACTCCTGCTCAAGTCAACGGGTGTTTTTGATGCACAAAGACTAGGTCTCATCATTGGAATATGTCAAGGCCCGATGTCCCATGACAGTGGACCAAGGGTATGGCTATGCTGCATAGCAAACCTGGGTCTGTGGGACCCATTCTTTCCAAGCTCACATGCAAATTTCCACACTGCATTGCTATGTGAGTCTCGCAGGCATGCCGATGCATCTCCACTCCACTATGCAGACCAGAGTTACACCCGAGTCAGACTTTGAGGTTTCTGGGGCATATTCCAGGTTTCTCAGCACCCTGGGTAGCTACGGACACTCTAGGGCTTGGTTCATCATGTATTGTGGGAGAACATCTCTGCCCATCCTGTGGAACTTGACTGGAGCCTGCCAATGCATCCAGGCAAGACGTTTTTGAGTCTGCATGCTCCTAGCATCCAGAGTCATTAACTTGGATCCAGCACTGGAGGAAGACCTTCAGCTCACATTCTCTTCTGTTTTGGGAATTGGGCAGAGCATCTGAGAGATACTGATGGATGTTTTGGCAGCAGTAATTATCCTATTGACAGCATCTCTTGGCAGGGGGTCACAGACATGGCAGCTGCAACTGACTGAAGCTGCTCATGCCTATTGTCAGTCAGAGGTTCCCCATATGTAGTCTGATCCTTCTGGAGCAGGACCAGAAGCACAGATTGGTGGGATCACATCATGCAGACCTGGGATGACTAGCATTGGTTCCAGAACTCTTTTCATGAAGAAGCAGATATTTCTGAAGGCTTATGATTAAACATCTGCAAGTGGGTAGTGGTTTGTGCAGCTGCATAATCGCTCTACATATAGGGCCTTTATGTACAGAGTGACTGTTTCCTCACCCCCTCAGTCATGTTACACTTTTAATTAGGTGTAACTATTGGCCACTTAGGTCTGCTGGGATATGGTATCACTTTGTTCTCCAATACATGTGTTCCAGAAGCATTATTCCAGCAGGTTTTTGGGATGCGGGGGAGGCTATGACCAATGCCTCTGAAAATAGGTGCAAACCTATATTTTATTGCATAGCAGCCTGCATGAGCCCCCCAAATCAACTTTTTGGAAGTCCACATATTAATCATTCTTAATATAGAAAGACTTGCTTGTTTTTTTCCCCCCTCTATAGCATGTTCCTTAGGTTCTACATTCTACAGGATAGACTTATTAGGCTAATCTTGGGATACTCGTGGATGCTGGCCAAATTATGGAGATGCTGGTTGTGAGTCCGTAGTTAAGGCTGAGTTCTGTCTTCCTCTTACACTGAGGTTCTATCTTTGCTTTATGAAAAATGCAGTATATCCTCTCTGAACTCAGAGTACACCATGACCTTCTTTTAAAATGTACAAGCAAATCAGTTAGTTAATTTTAAAACTCAAGCTAACAGTGGGTTCTAAGAAAGTTTTGCTGTAGTCTTTCCTCTTTTCTGAATGATGATAGGAATGTTATTCCATTCCTAACTTTTCCATATAGTTAAAGCTCGTGGAGATCTTGTGCATAATTACATTTGAAGAAATTAGGCTGTAATTAAGCTACATTAATTATTGTATTTAACTGTTATGATTCTACAGGGTCAGTTCAACAACTTGGGGGACTCTGAAGTGGGGCTGTTCACATAAGCCAACCATCAGCCTTGCTCTACAGCTTATTTGCATGTAACCATTCTACTGACTGATTAGTATGAGGGAGACTTGACACATCCTCCTTCAAGGTTCTCCAGCTGCCTACTAGCTTGGGCGTCAGTGCTTGAAAGGTTCCCTATGGCTCTGAGTACTGTTGAGATAATTGAGGAAAGGAGTGCAGGCCCAGATGTTGGGACTTGGGGGCTGGCTCCCATTTCTCTTTTACTTACTTTTTTGGTCTCCAAATACTGCCCTTTAAACCAATATGTCAGTTGCAAACTAAGGATCAATTTTGTGTAAGTACAGTATGCTTTGGATGTTAAGGACTGCTGTGGTGTACTGGTGAATCTGTCCTTAAGTTAAAATAAAAATAAGCTTGTTAATTCATTTTCAAATCAATAGAAATATCTTATGATTGCATTCTTTTGGGTTTTGGTGTTCGTGTATGATTTTTTTTTTTTAATTTTTAAAAACCAAAAATTCCAAGAGGAAGGAAAAATTAAGTTATAGAGATGTACTCAACTGTAACTCCATTTTAAGGGTAAACTAAAATTAGAGGGATGTTATAATTTTTAAAATTCACAGTTAGGGTTACACTTGACAGATTCAAACATGTTAAGGTATAGAAATGCAAACTCAAGACTCCCAAGCAACTTCAACTCTACCTTGGAGTGAAATCATGAAGGGAGGAAAAACAGTGGGGGCAGAAATACCAAATGTTTGTAAAGTTCAGTTTCATCTAATCTGAGACCACACACTAAAATGCCCTCCCTTTTGTGATTAGTGGCAGCAACATGTATACCCCAGGGTGTTCTAGAATCTCTTTGGAATCCTATAGTCATGTGGAATCAAATTGTTCCCTTTGACTTGGGGAGTGAAGGTTGAGGGTCAATTTTTAAATAACCTTTGTTTTCTTGAATAAAAATTAGACTTCTTACTCTTTCCACAAAACTGACTGTAATTCTAAATTCTTGATAGATTCATGAGTCTGCACTACGAGCAAAGAACAGAAGGCAAGTGGAGAAAAGGAAGTTGTCTCAAAAGCGAGTGCGCTCTGCAGATGTGGATCGAACCTGGAGAGTAAAGCCTTCCCTGCCAGATAATCCCTGGATGACTGAGTACATGAGATGCTACTCAGCAAGAGCTCGGTGAATCAAAACTTGCTTGGACATCTTTCTAAATTAAAAAATATTTATATTCGATCAGGACATTGGTGCAAACTACTTATGCAAGGTTTTTATAGGGGGTTTCCAGCAGTCTGCTATTGTTTGTATTTTGGCTACCTACCTCATCAGTAGAGCGTAGAGCTGGAGCCATAACATTTGAAGATGTTTTTAAATATAGTTCCTTAAATTTTTAAATATTTCTCCTTTTCTGAAGTCTTTTTACGAGGCATTTCAATGGACCTTTTGAGACTATGATTTCAAAATACTGAAAGTCTAAGTAAATTTTTCAAAATCTTTTTTAGAATTGGTTCATTTCACAAACTTTCAACTGCCCCTTAAAAAAAAAAAAAGGGGGGGGCTTAACTCAAATCATGTGATCATGGTGGTGTTGGAAAGCTTTCCTAGGGTGTGGTGTATGTGCCATTGCATTATTTAAAATACTTGATTCAACACCTTCAAAATACCATGTAGATTACAATATCCAACCTGGAAGCCAGTGGCTCTGGTACACAATCTGAGACACAATGAATACCGGCCTAATGAAGACAGCTGTTAGGGGTTGTCTGCTATATATTGGAGACTTTTTAAAAAACTTGGTAATATTTCTCTAAACTTTCAGTAATTAGTGAATCATGCAGTTATTCTTCAATTGAGTTTCATTGCTGTTTTAAAATGTCAGTGGAATAGATTAATATGATCCAGTTGTTGTGGCAATTTATTTTCCAAGTGAGAAGTCACTGGATTAATTTGCGATTACTGTGACTATTACACCAAATGACTGATGTAGACAATCATTATCTGATGGCTGTTGGTCAATAGACAGTTGCTTGCTGTACCACTCTTGACCTGACAACAACATACTGAGCTAGTAAAAACACCCATTTTATGCTTAATCATTTTGATACCAGCCTCTCAATGGAGACTGTATATATTTCAATATACTTTGACCAGACACCAGCTGATTCATTAGTGAAGTCTTGTTTATTTTTAATGTTTTGTATCTGGAGAGTGGAGAGAGTGTATTTCACTGGTATGCATTCCATTTGGTTTAGTATGGTTAATACTTAGAGGTTTTAAATTTGTAGAACAATTTTGATAAACATTTGCAAATGAAGTTTTCATGGGGTCATATCTGTCCTGGAGGCATGTTCATAACTCCCTGCCAAGGGGAAAGAAAATAAACCCCTTAGTAACTGGAGACTAATGAAATCTGTGGCTATTTTTACTTGGTTGGCTGTTTTTTGTACAATGTAGGACTGCCAGTAATTGATGTTGGATCCTCAATTTGTTTCTTTACTCAGTTGTTCTAAATGGAATTCTTTTAGTTTTGTAGTAAATGTGAGCTTAAACAGATCCTTGCAGTAGCTGTGCGCTTTTTGAGATCTCTTTGAAGTGCAGTGGTGGTAATGTAATAGTTCTGAGGTTCATTCTTTTACAGGCTGCTTTGGGATCATGGACATCGCTTGATCACACTTAACATTTCAGATTTTTTTTTAAACAAGACTTTTAAAATCTATTATGAGAAATGTTATGCCCCTATTATTGGAAGTGTAGTAACAGTGTGTTTAATGCATTTGACCAGTCTGCTTAACTTCACTGTAGTGAAACGCAGAAAATAAACAGCAATAAGTAAACTGGAATCCAAAAATCTAAGGTTAGTAGTAATATAGGAGTTGGTGTGATTCAGTTTAGAATAGTCAGGCTTTCCTCAATGAAAGCCTGGCTGAAACTAGCCAAATTGACTGAGCAAGCATGGCTTTCATATTTAAGTTTCAAGGGATACTATTAGGTTAAATAATATTTTGAAAGTTGTATGTCACTGAGGCCAGAGATGATTAAAACTGACTTATTAAATCCTTCTGTATCTTAATAAAACTAAGACATGGCCTCATTTTCTGGCTTTAAAAACTTTTCACTTACAATACAATTACCAAAAAATCAAAACATCTAATACATTTTATACAACTTTCTACAAGCCTAGCCCTCTAAAACTAGTCACTAGAGTTTTTTAATAGACAGACCATTTGCTTTTCAGAACTAATTTCTGTCTACAGTTGAAAATATTCTGTAAATTTTATTTGTGGCTAGTAACTGACTAAAATATGCTGCTTAGTAGATCTCCCTTCCTCCAGATCAATGCCCAGTATTGAGGACATCCTAGTCCATTGCATGTCAATTTTTTTTAAACTTAACTGAGATCTCTCCACTATCGGGGGCCTAGTTTACTTTCCCTCAAGATATCTGCTGTAAACATGGTCCAGTTTCAAATGTCCTCTTCTGTTCTCAGGGTTAATTTGTCTCCCCTAGACAACAGCACAGAAGCTCCAGTAGCTGTATGTTGGCAACTATATTGGATAAACAAAAGTGGTGGTGCCTGTTTCTCCACTGACTTCACTAAAAACTGCTTTTACTCAAACATTGGGTGCTTCTCTGGCTTTGCTGGAATATTTTGAAGTACCTAATATTTAGTCTTTCTGTTCCATACTTTCAGTGCAGATATCAAATCAGCCAAACTACTGCCTGGGTCTTCTAGGTATTTAAAGGTTCAGTAGGTTTGCTTAAATATCCTATATAAGGTTTATGTCCTACTTAAGCTACAGCATCAGTTTCTCTGACAACTTTTTTTTAAAAGGGGTTGTTCTGTTTTCACCCTCTGGCCAAGTTAGTTTTGACAGGAACAGCTGTTGACTAACTTGCTAAAAGGCAGTAGTGTCACAAAATCAGGTCATATGTCTGTCAGTTGGATGGTTCTGCAGTACCAGGCTGTGGCTAAAAACAGCATTGAATTATGTGCATGGACTGACTTTTGGTAAAGCCTGAGTTGAGAGGCAGGTTTTTCTGAAGACTTTTTTTTTTAAATTGGGAAAGCTGCTGATCCTTCTGACTCTTCAAGATAACCATTTGAAAATAAACACCTCACTCACAACACTTGGGGCCATATTTTTAAAGGGTCCTAATCTTGACCACTTGGAGTTTGCCATCAATTGTGGGCACAAATTGTAGCGTTGACATCTAAGAGCTTGTCTAGAGTATGTGTAGTTTCATGTTGCAGTGACAGGCAGGCTGCACCCACACTCACTGTGATGTGTACCAAGACACAGTAACAAAAGGCTTTGGGGGAGGCAGCAGTGAAAGGCTCTGGCAGCAAGAAGTTGCCAGAACCTTTCACTGAGCTGGGGAAAGGCTCTGGAACGGGGAGCTGCCTCGAGCCTTTCCCACTGCTAGAGTCCTTCACAGCAGCAGGGAGATAGCAGGACACTATACTGTTTAAAAACCACAGTGTAGAGGTGGGAGGCTGGCTTGGGCCTGTTGAGAGATGCGTAGGGCACTTTACTTGCCTAAGTTGTGCTTCACTGTCTGCACTGCTATTCATACCTGTGCTAGTAGTATCTGCTCTACTTGCCATCGTAAATGTAGACTTACTCTAACTTGTGGTCATGGCTGATCAGAGTCCCAAAGACAGTTTCTTAAAGCACAGGTTTTGCAGATAAACAGCTTTTAAACTAAATTTGGTAATGTGTTTTGGAGCAGAGTCTTGATGGAAAGCAGGAAACTCCTATTAAATACCTATAATGGTTTAGCTAGCTCCAGCTACTTTGCTTTAGAGATGGATTCACCTGAAGCAGACTGCCTCTTTGACGATGAGAAACTTAAACATCTAGCTAGACTAAATGTCACAACCCTCTCAGTTTAGAGGAGACAGCAGCTTATCTTGCATTGAGTTGATTTTAAAGAAAAAGTAAATTTACCAGTTTAATGAACCCTCATTTTAAAGACAAGGTTTGTTTTATACTTTGGTAAATATTTCATAGTATTTTTTGCTAAGTCTTCACTAAAACTCTGAAGGGTGTCCCTTCATTCACTAGATACTTAACAGCACTCTACATTAAGTGAAACTTGATAGATTTCACTAATATAATGCTGCAGTTTGTCAACTTTACAAGTTCTATGAAGACTAGTTTGGTGTACTTTGTGTACAGTTACAATGAAAACTGTAAAAGAATGCCTTTGTACAATAGAGTAGCATGCTTGTTCAATCATGCTGTCACATCTTTCTTGTATCATGTAATTATCTAAATTTCAGTGTAACAAATATCAAAGTTTAAGATGCTGAAAGGGATATTGTCTAGATATAGAGTCAGATTTGACTTGTGATGTCTCCTATTCCTAGTAACTTGTTTTGATCCACTTTAATTGAGGCAGCAGATGTACACCACCCAATTTTTCATTCTGGGGAAAGTACATCAGTCTTTAAATATAAATTTTTTAATGTAATGTACCGGCACAGGAAGTCTTTGAGTTGGACATATGGTTATAGTGACCAAAAGTTGTTAATCTGAGGATCTATGTGCAATGAGTTGTTGGTTTCAGTCCATTCCTAGATCACTCAGCAGCAAAGCCATAATGGAGCCTCACTCAACTCTACAGTTGGCTCCTCTAAAAATAGGGGTAGAAGGGGGGGGGAAGCTGCCGATGCTGTTTTGTTAGCTTTTGTGAGCACTGAATTCACTTTAAGAACTATGGGGAAAATACCATCTAAGCTTGAAGCAATATGTGACTTTTTTTAGAATGTTTTTAAACTGTATTTTGTTTTTAGAGCTTCTGTATTTGTATTTAACACAATGTAGGGTCAACTTGTACATGTGAATAAAATTTAGTGACTTAACTGGCTTAGACTCTGACTTAAACAGTGGTACAGACAGAAGGTGGGGGTATAGCTTTGTGAATCTCACCACCTCTTCACTAACCAAGTACCTATTGACTTTGCAGGCCTTAAAGTGGAAAAAAGTCATCAAGTGGCTATTTAAAAATTCAGTAACCTTGGCTTCAACCCTATCTAGCCATCACCCTGTACTCTGAGCCACCACATTAGGAATAGGTACTAGTATGGAAAGAAACTGGTGCTTTTCCATCTTCAAAGGAATACTGGAAAGTGGCCTGTAGGAGTCTTTTTTTCCCTCCTCCTTGCTATTGTTCCCACAGCAGTTAGTGTAGTGTAACATGATCCCTAATACCATTTCCTCATCTGCTTAACAGAACAACATTGGCTTCATTGCTCTGTTCTGTTAAGTGCAGATGGGGGTCCCTCTGACAAGGGCAAGAAGAAATTCTATCAGTTCTTTTGCCTAGGTAAATAGTTCAACTGGCCCCCATAGCTGTTGGTGCAAAGTGGCATTGAGAGCTCCAGAAAGGAAAGGATGCACTAACCTGCCCAGCCTTAATGCAGTGGTGTGCTTACTCAGGCCTGAGGCTGCGACCCTCATGCTGAGAAGGGCCACTCCACAAGTAGTCAGAGAGGTGCTTATCTGTAATAGTTTGTAGCAGAAT